TCCTTCAAGAAGACTTGGGGGGAGTGGGCCAATGCTGTGCATGGCTGGTTACGAGTCCTGAGCTGGGCATAAGATACTCCCTATTTTACACTGTATATCATAGAGCTGACACAAATATTCCTATCTTTCTTGAAGTATTATTTGAATTTCACTAGACCTCTCAAGATCATCTTGTATATTCCTTGATTTGCTATAGAGCTCTGGTTATATTATGGATTTCCCGCATTTTTCACAAATTTTCTGGCCCTTCTACAGCCTGCAATCAATTCTAGATACCAATGATGTAATGGCTCTGCAGATTGGGTGAACCTGCAGAGAGCCTATGTCATAGAAGGCGGGAGCCAATCAGAGTCCAGGAATCCAAACCGACGCGGCCCGCACCTCAGCCACTGACTACAAGCCACTACAATAGTCAATTCCCACGATAAGCAATAAAAGTAAAACCGCCATGCGGACTAGGACAAGACACACAATCGATAAATTCACGAAAATGCTGTTGTAGACCCATATAGCATACACCCCAGACTAGAGAAAATAAAAAAGAGATAGGACGAAGAATTGAGCCCGCAAATGAGCAAACAATGGTCCCAGAGACTACAAAAACGCGCCAAAAGTGGTTTTGTAGTCTCACATACAAACAGACTTTTAAACAGAGTTTCCAAAGTGTAGTCCACAATACAAACTATAACTCCCACGACTTCTCGGCACAAAAGGTTCTCACGGGGTACAACGTTCGGCACGCAGGCATATTTTGCGCGTAAGGACTCGTCCTTCGTACCTCAGGACTCGTAACCTCATTTGATTCCGGGTGGGCCACGAAGTGAACGAGATGACTCACTGACAATATGACGAACAGCACGCCCTCCATAATCGCCACTGACGCTTTGTTTTGTGTTAGGGACTAGACACATAGCGAGACATTCCCTTGTCTCACCTGTCAAACTACCGGTCTCCACAACGAAAGTTACAAGCCTGCACACAAGTCGGTCGGATTTATTCACTCCAGACCTAGCCCTCACTAGCTATCAACGTGGGGCATCACGTAATGATGTTCAACACAGGGTCACGTTATATGTATCGTATACTTACAGTAACTGTCATTATCACAGCAATGCCAACATCAAGTACAGCGCCCGCCAAGAGCTGGCCCTATGGTACATGGCTGATTAAGGAAGTAGACGCAAGAGGCCAAACGGACGTACTGAGACAAGCGGGGTCACTGCAGATGCCTCAGCAGCAGACTTGACATTCTTTATCTTGAGAGGTGAGGAGCGGGCATTAGGACGTGTATGCCGCATTGTATGAACCCATACCTTGGAGCCAACCACAATTCCGAAGGTCATGATGCCCAGCGCAAACTGACCATGGGAGTGGAACCATGGTAAACAGGTGTCTGCTTCGGATAAAAATACAACCCACCACCGCGATGACTGCCGAGAAGACTCGAGTCCCCGTGAGGACCAAGATCCTCCAGGCATAGAGGATTTGCACAACCGCTGCGACTATGGCAGTCATAATAACCACACTGAACCAACTGTTGTTGAAGGAGGTAAGGACGTTGACATTCCCGTACGAGTACACATAGACCATATATACGTCCGATGTGATAAGTCCCGTCTGCACGCATTCCCATATGAAAACACCGTAAACTTTGGAGCGTGTGGTGCAGATGAAATTAGATCAACACTGGTAGTCACCGTCAGTAAGATAGCGAGAATCGAACCTAGGGCTTTGATCCAAAATGTATCATGTTGGAACCAAATATGATATAGATCTAACGGAAACACCCCGTGGGTTCTATTGAGTAGACCTTCCAGGATATTAGAAAAGACTCACAAATTTGGGTCGATAAAACTCCTTGCATGCCCCAGTTCATGAGGAATCCAAGGATCTCCAGAGCAACATCAGCGGAATAAGCAGCAAAGGGCTACGACTCCTACTAACTTGTGGTCCAGCGCTAGAGAACAATGCATTAGCACTAGATTCTGCTATGATATTCCAGGAAGATGCATACAGACGATTCACCGAGGGCATGGCGGTTGCCGGGCAGGACATGTTTGCTAGGACTCCAAGTAATTTCCAGAGGAGGGAATGGCGTGGGCGAGGACACGATGTCACCGGTGCAGATACATCTTATAAAAGCAGTCAATTGATCTCCGGGCAAGCCTTGGCCGCAGTGAATACAATTGACATAGTATGATCTCACGACACACTTTTGATCCTCGGATCATAGTGCATACTGAGGTCGTCCACAATTCAATGACTTCTCTTCGACACTGGTAATCTTATGGACCAGGTGCATGCCAGCAAAATCCCAGAATTAGGATAGCACTATCTGCGACTCCCAGTCTGTTAATCAAGTTCCTGTGGACCCGAAGATACGCCAAACGTGTAGAATCGGAGCTATGCCCTAGGCTGTGGAAGCACAGTCCTGCGAGCCTCCTGATATCACAAGGAACATACCAGTTACCAACCGGCAGCGCCAGATGTCGCTGCATCTCCATCACGATTACCGCTACCTTGGGAGCGGTCAAGTTACTCTCCCCGAGTCATTACTTAGCAGGTTGTCCGACATATTGACAAGATCATGCTTCCCTAGCTGTGCCCGTGCAACTGGGAAGTGACCGGCTGGCTCAATGGTGCCTCAGGTGAACACGGGGTAGATCATGTAACAGCAAATTGACTGCAACGAAAGTCAACTGTCAGTTAGAGGAAGATTTTGGATGTTTGGGTGTTACTTGGCGCGGCGTTGAGTGCTTACTCAATACTATCAGCCGCCAGACTCACGGCCAGAGCATTGGAGCATTCACAAGCGGTTTCGACCCTAAGGGACATCAGATACTACCAGGTTGTTTTTGCGGAGTCCGGTCAACTTCTGACATGACCGTTCTGGGCCAGGGCCCAGGACTCGCAGCCGTTTCGGGAAGACATCGCTTCGAACTGGCCCACGAATCCGGTCCTCGGAAGGTGAGTTCACGGCTGCCAGAGACTCGTGACAGTCTTTAAATGCAACAAGATGCTAGTGTTCCAGGAGAAAGTTGCTGGCCTTCAAGTTACTTTGACCTAAGGTTGCACGAACCCCACACTGGTACTTGGGGGGAGGGTTCCGTCTAGTGTTCGGGGAGAAAGTCGGCGGTAGTTAAAATAGCTCTGCTTGCTGCAAGTAACCTGTGTAATTCCTTACATTGACTCGAGCTCTTTAGACCATCAGATTCACTATATATATGCATCTGTCGTTGATGTGGGCTTTCCATGAGGCATGCGAGCAGAGCTGCCGCAGCCACAGGGCTGCAAAGCAGTGTGACTCGGCGGGCAAGAGATTGTACAGGGAATTCCGCGGGCTCTGATTGGCTGGGAATTCCCTTTCCTAAATCTTTCGCCCGGCCCTACAGTACTTTGCATAAAAGTCCGGAAACCGCGATTCGCGAAATGTTGTTTGTGCCAGCCAAATAAACCTATATGGGGTAGTCGATCACCGTAACGCGGGCTGTTGACTGGTTGGCGGGACGCTTCGACATCCATGTATGAGGGTCGTTCTTGGGGGATTTTAACCTCTGCGTGCTCGATATCCTAAAGAGATACAGATCTGAACATTATTTAGCCTTGAGACGGGCATTTGTGTCCCAGGAGTGATATACAGTCGACTCTCCCATAACCCATAGCGGTCCGTGGACCCAGAAAGGTATGGGTTTTCGGAGACCATGGGTTACCGGAGTGTGACATAATGTGACATTGGCGGGTAGCGTGACATGTGGCAGGGCGCGCGGCATATGCCGGATGGTCCACATCATGCTATATGTCGCCTGGTATGGGTGCCCACTGCCATATTGGTATAGTTTCTGGGTCGGAGTATTGAACAACTCCATAGTAAATGTTTTAAAAGTAGTAAATGGTGGTCGATAGGGGTCTGATTGAGCTAATAATAGGATGATTTATGGGTTATGGACCCTCCAGGAAGGTATGGGTTATGGGGTATCAGAGAGTTATGGGTTGTCGCGACGATTAATTAGGAACCAAATTGGTGGACGCAAAAATGTATGGGTTATTAGAGGTTATGGGTTATTGGAGGTATGGGTTAAGGGAGAGTCGACTGTAGGCTGACTCGAGGACCGTCGCGCCCTCGGTCAGGTGTTACCCTATAAGGGATTGTCTGGCTGGGACAAACAGAAATGCGCGAAACGCAGTTTCCGGCCTTCTTTGCAAAGCACTGTAAAGACTGCAACTCACGAAACATGGGCCGGATATGGCGACAGCATGAGGATGCCGTGCGAAAGCAGTCTGACCAAGGGAGTCTCCTCAATCAGACTCACTTCCCCGACTCCCACGGTAGTTGGGAGGAGGGTTCTGTCGGGAAGAAATGGTCGCTCCACCATACAACTCGCTCTCGCCGTGATAACCTCATGTAAGCAACAGTCCCAACTGGACCGACACCACTTTCGTTTCAACTTGAAGACAACTGCCCGCACACGCCTAACGTGAACGATCAAGTGATGCAAGTGCATAGCATTCGATAAAAGGATGCATTCAAACAAGTGAGGCCAATAGATGAGACTAGCATCTCTGAGCAGCAACCGGTAACTCGAGAAGCCCCTTTAAATACTGATGTAGATATAAGACAGGACTATATGAATACTGTGTACATGTCTGTCAAGAGTGGCATTCCGCAGCTTGACCACACACTAGTACTGGAATACTTAATGGTTTCTGACTGGAGTTGGGGATTGGCGCTTGCACTGCTACAATGGATTACTTTCTAACTGCGACTAAACGGTTGTAACCTGGTATGGGAGGCACGGGCTTTATTTGAATTTGGGCTTCGTTAGCGCTGTGTCCATATGGTGGCCAAATCGAGTCTCAAATGACTGTAAACAAATGTGATGATACTTCACGCGAACTTCGTAGTCAAATATTAATCATCCAAGTACCCATGGCTTCGATCGCGACATAAATTCCTGGGTGAATCTGGGCCATTTTCCACCTGTCCATCATTGGGCGGCCCCGGAGAGTGAAATGCACTCTGAGTTCCCTACCACGGTAAAATTTCTCCCGTCTTCACCTCCCGAAGTCGCTTGCCCCTGTGATAACAAAGCTACACTGCCCGATTCTCCGGCAATGCGCATACTTTTCGCAAGCAACGGTACCTATGGTCAACGTTCAGTTCCCACCAATACTAACGGTGTGTATACCGTGCGGAGACACGTACATCAATGATAAATCGTGGGCCCAGATACCTCTGGAGCACAGACATAAGTAGACTATGAATCGGGATTGGCAAACCGCGAGTCCAGCATTAATGCGGATCAAGTTGAGCAAAGCACAACACACGTACATCATGACTGCCTCGAAAGGCCTACTCTCACCTCGCTCAGCACCCCGTAAGAAACCTGGTCTGAGGATGATTGTCTCTTCGTATCCCAGTGATGCAAGCGCCATCTCGGTGAGGCCCTTACTCCTGAAAGGCGCGGGAGTTGCCAGTATTATGCAAAGCACAAAACTCGCGGTACCTACCTGAGGTACAGTAAAGACGCATTTGGGCTCGCGCCGTTGCTCTTATGCAAGCGGGAGGGACGTAAGGACTTATCGAACGGAATGCTACATATATGTACCCACAGAGAGGTAGACAAGACGCTGCGTGTGCTGGGGATCGTTGGATTTTGCTGCTCGAGCGGCATTTACGACATAGCTGATGACCCATTATTTAGCACAGGTCCCCGTAGTGTCTGGAGTAGAGACGTACTCTCGATCTATCCTTTCAAATGCAGCAGAGTTACCCGCCTTTGCTCTGGTGGTCCCCAGTCTTGAAGTTCCGCCACGTCAGTATGTAGAGTTACCCACGACGCACATGAGGAGGACCGTACATGATATAGACGACGTCCCACTTTCCCTCTCTCAAACCCGCCTCTTCGACCTTTTCGAAGTCTATCGTCTTCTGTTCGAGCTTCTCCTTGTCCTGCAGGTCGTCAGGCGATGTCACCCAGCGCCCGTACTCGCCCACGCGGCTATACTGAGAGCACGCAAGTAGTTCACGCAGGAGATGCTTCCCCGTCGCGCCAGTGGCGCCCAATAAAAGTGCAGATCTACCAGTAGCTAAATTGCAGCATTGGAGACTAGTGTCAACAACTATGATGACAGGGACCTGCGACCTACCTGCCATGTACAAAGGAGAATAAGGTCGATAGCTCCTAGTACTTCTACAAGGTAGGTATGCCTTAGTGACCGCGAAGCACGTCCACTGCAAGCAGAATAATATATGGGTTGTGAGCATGCGTATTAATAAGAAGGCTGTCTAGACCCGATAGCGCCACGCCTCGATCTCCCGGATGAAGCGCTCTGGGATGCGGACGGGCCAACGCATGTTCCGAGTATGCCGCTCAGAATGATTCATTATAATCTGATAGACAGATGGAAACCGCATGTCCGTGGTAGACTGTCAATAGAAGACTTACGTCTGCTTATCTGACTCGGAGTTTCGGATTTCACGGGTCTATGTTGCAGCGAGGAGTGTAAACATAGAGTACTGACTCTTCCCGCTACTGTAGGTACTAAGGTAGTGGGTCTTAGACCCCCCGGACGTTCGCAGGTTTCCTGCGATCGTTTCAAGATCTTAGGGTGCACGTGGCAATTGATGTGTGTTGGGTCATTGATTGCTACTAGAGTTGGGACCCGTGGCCTTGCCACTGGAGTGCACTGTCATGTTTCAGCTATTTCCGAGCAAGTAAAATAAAACTACGTATTTTTACAGATTTTTGTGAATCCTATTTACCATAAGCAATGTAATGTCGGTCCTGTCTCTCAGTTGGCGGCACTTGCCACCCGCCTCCCTCGGCCAGGACCCGTGTCGCCGTGCTTTGCATCTCAGATCATGGCTTCAAGAGATATGGATTACTTGTTTATATTTTATTTTTACCCCATCACTTCAACCCTCCATTTTGATTCCCATTCCTGTTCCCATTCTCCAGCCAAAATCTGAGGGACCCTTATCAGCTACTCAATCCCATTTAGATTTTCTAAGTTCCATTAACAGCCACATTTCTACAACACCCATTGGGCAGGCTACTGTATGCCTGCAGCGACTGAGACACCCGAGTGACACCGTTACCAAGCCTTCTTAGGCTTGTGACTGGGCTCGCAGTGGCGAGCCTAACGAGGCTCGCAAACCTTAATTCCGCACCCCAGCTGAATCCCCCGCCGGGGCCCTGTGCTTTACGCCTGAGTCTGTGGGCACACGTCACCAGCCTTCTAGCTAATAATAGTCCGCGCCTGCTCCTAACCCTAAGTTCGCACCTGCCATTGCGCTTGGCGCCGACGCCTGTCCCGACACTCATGCTCATCGTCGTGCACAACGGCCACGACTATGACGCTGCGAGGCCACGTATAAAATCCAAAAAATCGTCATAAATTCTAGAATATGTATTAGGACTACATGCAGTATCTGTGACAATGAATTAATTTCTAGTTACTCCTCAATTGTTGTTGCCGGCTGCAGCAAGGAGAGGAGCTTCGTGCTGCCTCTCGTATGCACGATTAACAGGAGCAAAAATAATGTATACCTCTGATAGATAATAAAGAGCATGTGGGGGAGCAATGAACTCTGTTCTCGCCGGTAGCGACAATGAGAGGGCACTATGGTCAATGCATACTAGTATACGAGTGTAAAATCGAACCTATTGCAGAAAGAGTGCACCAGAGGAATTATGGGACATAAAGACCCATTTGTACATGTGGTAGGGCTGCGAAGGGCACTGAGGTGCCGTTGCAAGGCGGAGGGATCAATAATTCCTGACAAATGAATGGAAATAGCAGCGGCCGGTAGAGGCACTTGGAACATATGACAGACATGAGCCGGAATGCAGATAGAGTACTTAGAAGGTGCCTACCAATAGTCCCGGCACCTGTTACACGGTGTTGATCCTGCTGGTCCCGGGTCATGAGGACGTCTCCAACAGTCCATAGTCAACCGGAAAACCAATGAGCACCATAGGCATCGCAGAGGGAAGATATCTCCATAGATGTATCACCGAGAGCTGAGCAAGGGAATTGGGGAGGGGGGCGGAAGGTGTAACTACAAACCGGCAGCACTAGGGAGTCCTCCTATAGAGAGACAAGAGCGTAAAGGCTGCAAACTTCCTCCAGGTTAGCCATACTGCATGCGTTGGGAGATATCACCAGTGTACTCACACAGCTCCCTCGCTCTCTTCTGATCCCTCAATCCTACGCTCCGAACATCAAGCTTTGCCGACCGTGTCCCTGATACATCCGCACGGCGCCCAGAAGGTATTAGGGAGCTTGGCGGCAGAGTGATAAGGCTTGGAGAATGCATAGATACAGATGAACAAGAACATTACGCTGCCGTGGACGAGCACATTGACCGAAGAGCCGAAGAGGAGAGCTGGCGCTCAGCCACCAGAAACGCACTGCATTAACTGTCCGATTCGGACGTCCGAAACAAGTGCCACTACACTGCTCCAACGCTGCCACCTACTCATCTGCCGCTGGTACATGGCTTTTGCTCCTGCACATCACACGCCTGTTTATTGCTCTCAAAATGACTCATCTTCATGACATATTTCAGGTCTACGGGCGGTCTAATCGCGAGTAAGTTGACGTCTATTTTGCAGTGACTAGCATTGGGGTGCAAGGTGAGTAATCCGCTCGTGTATCATTCGCCCCTTTCCCCCATCCTATTTTCCTGCTTATACTTCAAGGCTTCATTAACTTCCTCCTACTCTCTCATTCTGACCCACGTCAGATTTTCAGTCTTGCTTTGCGCAGCTGTCGGCACCGGCAATTCTCGAGGACAGTAGTGCACGTTCAAGATGAGCTAATGAGTGGCAGGTTGAACCATTTCTTGGACTCCAGAGGCTTATGTCGACAATGGTGAGTACAAATTCCATGGACCCTCTTGGGTTTCGTTCCTTCGCTTCCCATTCCCCACACTACTCCCATCTTTACTTATCATTTCATGGACGAGTGCAACCTTTTGTTGGCATAACATTCGGGGAGGATATGCATGCCTTCTTCCATTATATGCATCGACCCTCATCTTTTTTCGACCGCTTGTTCCCCTATCCCGTTCTCAACCTGTTGCATAATTCTTATCTGTATCGTTACTTTCCTATGCAGTCAATGCTGTACTCAACCTCTTTTCCAGGCTCTGTGATCCTCGGAGTGTCCCTCAATGTTGGAAGGTGCCAGTCACCGTTCTGACAGGTATTGTTATGATTTTCCCATGCTTATCTCATTCCATTTCCATTCCGAGCATTGCTATTGGACAGTACCTTTCTCTGAGTAGAACTTCCCATGGACGCTATCTTCTTCCCACACGTTATCTCCCTTGACTCACCTTCTACCAATGGGCGCCCTTGTATTTCTCATTTCTCTGAGTTACGTTCTCACAGGATAGCTTATGCGTCCCTTCTCATTGTTCTCTTCTTTGGGTATCAACCCCTATACCAGTTACTATATATACTGTAGGAAAACCCATGTATTCCTTAGTTCAACCTCCTGTTGAATACAGCAATTACCTGGACTCTTGACTTGACCGTTGGCATTGGCCCGGCTAGACCTACCTTTCAGTACGCTTACTGAGGTAGTGACGACATAACTGTTGGCACGTGGCCCAGTTATCTCAAGACGACTAGTTAGGACGTCGCTTCCTAACAGGTATCTTCTCTCCAAG